GGATGATTGATTAGGTAAGCACAGGGGATTTTTAGAGCAGTGAAACTACTCTGAATGATACTGTAAAGGTGGATACGTGATACATTTATCAAAACCCACAGAATGTACAACTGAACCCCAATGTAAACTATAGACTTCAGTTAATGATAATGTATCAATATTGTTTCATCAGTTGTATCAAATGTACCACATTAATGCAAGTCGTTAATAATAGAGGAATCTCACTGTGCGAAGGGGGATATATGGGAACTCTCCGTATTCTCTGCTCAATTTTTCTGTAAATTTAACACTGCTCTAAAAAAAAAAAAAGTAACTAGAAAAGAAGGCAACTTAAAGTGACATTTATATCTCCACCCAAATTAGCTTAAAACTAGCTGGCACTGGCTGTGGGCCAGACACTGTTTTCTAAGCACTTCACATATATGAATTCATTTCAGCCTTACAAAACTTCTGCGAGGTATTTCCACATTTTACAGACGAGGAAACTGAGGCTCAGGCAGGTTAATGGCATGTTCAGTTCACATAGCTAGGAAATGGTGAAAAACCCGGATTCAAACCCAGGCAGCGTGTACCGTGCTGTTCACCACACATCGCCCTGTGATGCCCTTCCCCAAACTGCTTCCGTTTTAAAAGGGGATGGGGGTAGGCGGAAGCAAAAGGACAAAGTTTTAAAGCAATTTTATTTTGGAATAATTCATATAAAATCAAGTTCACCCATTTTAAGTGTTCAGTTTCTTGAATTTTGAAATATACCAATGTAAATGCCACTAAATCGAGAAATAGATCCTTTCCACCAATGTAATATACCAATGTAAACGCCACTACAATCAAGAAATAGGTCCTTTCCACCACCCCAGAAAGTTCCCTTTATGCTTCTTCCTGGACAAACTCTATGCCCACCTCCAGCCTCAGGCCACTGCCGATCTGCTTTCAGTCACTAGAGTTTAGTTTTGACTTTTCTGGAGTTTCATATAAATGGAATCATACAGTCTGTTACTCTTTGGTGGCTGGCTTTTTTTTTTTTTTTTTTCTCTCAGCATATATTTTTGAGATTCAACCATACCGTTGCAGGTGTCAGTAGCTTGTTTGTCAGGGACTAATTCCTATGGCAGGGTTTCACACATGGCAACCCCCAGGAGAGGAAAGCATGCTTTTACGTAAGCTCCTCAAACTTTACATACCCTGGTCAGGCAGCAGTCAGGCTGCACTGGGCGACATTAGGCTGAACTTGACCTCAAATAGGCCTTAAGCATCAGCAGTTATCAGAGGGTCTGAGTAGCTGCCAGCCCAAGCTCTGGACAGAAATGGACTTTTTTCTTTCGCAGAATATAAAGGATTGCCTTGCCATGCTTTCTTCATTAAAGCACGTTCTGAGGTCTGAGCTCCCCAAATAAATTGTTTCATACCCTCAAATGATAATAATAAAGTAAGAAAAGGGAAAAAAGAGACGGGGGAAGCTCTGTCCATAGTGTGTGACAAAGAATGATTTTACATTCTAGAAAATAGATTACATGAATGAAATTATACTTTTAAAATATAAAATATAACCACTCCTGAGAACACACCCATGCAGTTTACAATTGCGCTTTCTGAGCAAATTTGGGATTCTCCTAGGAGTTAGAAGACCTCGATCTGGATCCGGTTTCAGCACTGCTGCGAACCCGCTGAGGGACCGTGGTCCAGTCAACAACTCGCTGGATTCCTAATTCCATGTCTGTGAACCAGATGCTTAGACCTGGTGGTGTTCTTTAACTGTCGGTTTTAAAACTTGGCCCTAAGGAGTGTGAGAAGTGAACCACTAGGGGGCGCTGCCTGCTAGGAGACAGCATGAGTTGCCAACCTCTGCTATAGAGCTCAACAGCCAAGAAAAAAGAGGGAGAGAGAACAGTCCACACCTTTGAACTCAGTCACCACCTCCTGGAATGTGTCCTAAGGAAGTCATTCCCGAGGTCCCCGCCAAGGGCAGGAGGGTGTTGCCTTCCTTCCCACTGTGTGGGGTCTGTGACTCCGGCTCCTACAGTGCCTGCAGTGCTGCTCCCTGCAGTGCTGCAGGCCGATGCCCAACAGCCCCTTACCGTGCAGTGTCCCACGGCAGGCACTGTTCCACACCTCCGTGTGCACGTGGCCTTTTTCCTCCTCCAGGACAGAGAGTGTGAGTTTGGTGCTTCTCACAGAGGCAAATGGGGCAAAGGAAGTCACTTCTCCAGGGAAGTAAGTGGTGGAGCCGGGATTGGAACCCAGGGCCTCTGACTGCAGAAGCATGCTCTGAATCCACAGTGCAGTTCTGCCTCTGGGGCAGCACAGCACCTGGAAGATGGGCGGTGCACGTACTGACATACAGTCCTAAAGCATATGCTCATTATTTTGTTTCTTCTGGAACAGGGGTCTACTACCTTCCTGACAGCGTCTCCAGGGTCTTCCGTTCATTTCAACAGCAGCACATCCATGAACTACCCTGTGCAAGCTGAAATTGAAAATACTCATTTTCTCTTGGGTTGGGCATGGTGAGGCACACATGGACTTACTGAGGCCTGCGGTGTGTGACCACTTAGTACTCGCAGAAGGGGTCAGGTTCCCTTCAGCTACCCCAGCTTGCCCACTTTTAAGCTCTGTTACTCTGGGGAAATTACCTAGCCTCTCTGAGCCTCAGCTTTCTCATCTGTAACAATTAGCAGGGACCACGTAGTAGCTGCTCATGAGAAAGTAGTATACTTTCCCAAGGATCATGTCATGGTGTAATTTATGCTAATAATTTGATGTTCTATGAAATGATGCCATAGAACATGACAGTTTTAGACTCTAGTATACTCTTAAAACCAGTAAAACAACATTGAAAAATGCACACAAGATAATATAGGTGGTTTTTTTTTTAATGAGTACAAAAACTGTTTCTATTTTGGTTTTAAAAATATCCAAAACGTTAGATGTTTATCACTGATAGGGCACTAGGGTGACAAGTTTCTTTATTATACTTTTTCATATTTTCTGAGTGTTCCACAAGGAGTTTGCTTTTTTGGAGTCTGCTTTTTTGGAGTCTGCTTTTTTTTTTACACAAAGAAAACGTAATCTACAAAGTTAGTTGCCTTTCATTTCATGCCTTATTGGATAATGCTTTAATAGAAAAGAGAGGAGTAGAAGTGGAGGAATCAGAGAAAAGGGTGAAGGGAGAGGATTTATTGAGCATCTGGCATTTATTGAGCATCTGCGATGTGCAGGCTCTGTGTGGGGTGTTGACTGACGAGGCAAGGGTATGGTGTGTGCAAAGGCCCTGGGGCGTGAAACAGCAGTCTTGGAGAACAGCAAGTAGGGCCTTTGGAAGAGAGGAGAGAATGTGGCTGGGAGACGGGCAGGCAGGAAAGGGACTATCAGCTGTATCAAAGGATTCAGATTGCATTCTGAGGGCCCTGGAAAACTACTGTGAGGTTTTTTTTTTGTTTTAACAGTAGCAATTTTTATTGAGATAATTGTAGGTTCACACACAGTTGTAAGAAATAATACAGAGAGATCCCTCATACACTTTGCCCATTTTCCTCCAATAGTGACATTGTGCAAAACTATAGGACACTATAACAACTAGGATATTGACATGGATACAAGGCACTGATTTTACTCAGATTTCCCCAGCTTGACTTGTACATGTGGGTGCACATGCGTATTAAGTTCTATACAATTTTATCACCTGTGTAGGTTCTTAGGTCATCACCACCTTCAACATACTGAACAGTTCTAAAGTCACAGGAATTCTTGTTGCCCCTTTATAACCACGCCCACCTGCCTCCTGCTACCCTCTCCTGAGCCTACCGGACCAGGAAATTGATTGGCTGTGGAAGGTGAGGAGGAGGGGCCTGAGAAGATCTCATTTCTGCCAGGCAGTGTTTGCAGGGTGGGCTGTGACTCAGAGTGCCAAGTTTAGAGCTTGCTAGATTAGCTGTGGCCATACGCATGACCAGAGGGCCAAAGGGGGATGTCCTGGAGGCTAGTGGATTTACAAATTTAGGGTAAAGGGAGAAGTCTGAGCTGAGGCTGCGACTAGGAGTCACCGCCTATCACCAGGGGTGCTGTGGGCTTGCTAGGGAGGGAGTAGAGTGAGAGCAGAGGGCTGAGGAGGGAACTAGAGGTCGATACACTGTCTGTCGACAGTCCCCTTCCGGGTCCTGTCTGCACAGAGGCTTACAGGCCGGTGCCTTGTTCTACAGCTGGCTGCCTCCTGTCTGGTCAAGCCTTGTCCTTTGCTTCAGGAGCCATGGGAATCTGCACAGAAGGTTCCCCCAAACTGCATGACTACCTCAATCTGGCCCCAATGTGAGCCTCTGAGCCAAGCATGGAATGTCCTTCTACACAATACACACCCCTTAGCTGTGTCCTGTTCAGTTCCCTGAGTACAGGGCTTCTTCATGCTGGCGCTGCCACGTGGAGAAGGATCTTAGAGGTCACTGAATCCAAAGGCTTTGATTCAGGAAAGGGAGAACTGATTCTCAGAAGAGAGAAGCTTGGCGAAGACCAGAGACCTGATCTGGAAGAAAGGGAGCTGTTTGTTTCAGGTTTAGAATCTGCTTTCCTCATAGAGGAAAAAACCCAGGAGAGATAGATAAAAGTTTCTGAACTCTTTCAGTCCTCAGTTTTTAATGAGCGTCTACTATGTGCCAGGCAGTACTGGAGTCTCTGGACAGTAGACGGATCACTGTCGGCCCCTAAAACTGGTGGAGAAAGACATCGAAGGGTTAAATTCCAGGAAGGAATTGGAGGTGGAGGGCAGAGGAATCTCCCAGAGGAAAAGCCCCCTCCCAGCTTCTCAGGCTCCGGAAACCTGGGCGAGAAGAACCTGGAAGATCTGCCCTGCTGGCGCGCAGCCTCCCCGCGAAGCCCCCTCTGGCCCCGGGAGTGGCGGCTCTCAAATTACAACAAAAGGAGCTGGGGGCCGGGCCTGTGCGGTGGCCGCCTTCAGGGAAGGGGGTGGGTCCGGGGAGGGGTTTGCCGTCTGACTCGCGTTAAAAGTACCGGGAAAAGGGTAAAGGAGCGACTCCAGCCCGCCGCTTCCTCAACTTGGGGCTCGCTGTCTCCGGCTCCGCTCGGGTAAGGGGCTCTGCAGCGACGTGCGCGGAGAGGGGCCACCGTGGGAAACTGGCCCCAGAAGAGCCAGGGCGGACTCCTGCTTCCAAGTAAGAGCGCCTCCCGCAGCCCCCAGTCTTCACAGCGGTTAGAAGGGCAGCGGGAGCGTCCCCACAGAGTCCCCAGACTCCGCTCCCCGCGAGGACGTTTCACCGCCATGCTTGGGGTCCCCAGAACCCGAGCGGCGGGCACTCACAGCGAAGCAGAGATGTGGGGACGTGCAGGCTGACGGGTCCCCCTCCTGACTCGGGCGGACCCACCCAGCGCCACCTCGCCGGAGCTGGGCGAGGCGATGCAGCTGGTGCGCCCTGGGAAGTGGGGCGCTCGGTTCCCTGCACAACAGGGGCGCCTGCAACCAGGCAGGACAGAGCCAGTCGAGGCCCGGTGTGCACTACGTGCCTTGAGGAGAGGGCGGGAAGCGCAGCGTGGGGCCAGGAACACTGGCGCTGTGCTCGTGCCCGGAGTTCTGCCTTTTGGGGATGTGAAGGGCGCAGGGGACGGGGGGAGCATTGAGGTGTGCACCGAAATTGTGGCATTGGAGCGGGGTTGGGGTTGGGGCCACTGGGCCAGTGGGAGCTCTAGCGCCCACTGCCTGGAATGGTTTTCTCCTAAGCCTTCCAGTAAGGCTCAACTGAGCGCGCGGGCCGCCCTGAGTCCTGCGGGAGGAGAGCGTGTCCGGTGCTCCAGGTATTCATTCACTCCGCGTCGCTTTGGCTCGTCTGGGGACCAGGGAACCTCTTCCGTCGTCATCACAGAGAAACGTTTGAGTAGGAAAGACCCAGCATAAGCGAACGTACAGGTCTTGCGTGCAGAATCGCCCAGGGCTGGTGGGGCGGGAGGTGGGGGTGGGGTGGGGTGGGTAGAGCTAATCCTAGTCTTGCGCTGTACTCCCGCGGTCCTCCGTGCCTGCAACTTTTACGCAGGCGCTTTGGCCACTGCGCTCGGCCCCCACTCTCTCCAAAAATTTGGGAGACCTCTCATGTAGCCGCCTACCGGAGGTGTCGTTGTAAATCAGGGCCAGTTTAGAAATGATTGGAAGAGTTAAGATGATGCCTTTTCATCATCCCCCACCCTAGTAAGACCACCAAAAACAGCCGGCGTGGGGGAGGGGAGTGATCTGCCCTTGTCTAGGAAACCTCAAGCCCTGATGAGAGATATGCATGAAAGTTAGAAAGATGCCCCAAGTTAATTTTGTTCTCCAAAATCTTGGAACTGTGGAGATCAGTCCAATCGTTTTGTTTTGCAGAAAAGGAAAAGTTCCCGAAGCTCAAGGTCATTCGAACCCATATCCTTTACACCACCACTAGCTTGCCTGTCCTGGAACCCCCAAAGCCCATTTTTCACTCTTGGTGGAATTATTTACTTTTTAATGGTATGTTGTGTACTTACTGGTCAGAGATGGGCCTTAGGACGAAGACAAAATGTTCATTTCTCTGGTCAGTTTCCAGATGAATGACCGACTCACCCGGCGCTGCCTTAGCTAAATTATTCATATCTTTCCCCTGTTTGTTCTGTTCCCCTTTCTGGTCTCTAGTATATCTGTCCCTGGAAAGACCATTAAAAGCCCCTGGTGACTCTTGGGGCCCAAAGAGACTGAGTCTTAGTGGTGTGTGTGTGCGTGTGCATATGCGTGCACGCACACACACACACTTGCACCCATATGTCTCTCTCTGTGACTTTGTGTTAAAAAGTGACTTGGTCCAAGGTCACTTTTAAGTGGCAAAGCTGAATATGAAACAGCTCTGAAGGCAAAGTATGCACTTGACGTTTCCAGGTTGGCTGACATTTGGATAAAGGGCAGACAAGAAATTCTGTGATGTCACTTCCATTGTCTTCTTTACCTTTGGGCTCCTTGCCTGGCCCTTTCCCACCTTTCCCTGAGTCCTGGTCCTCTGACCAGTGAACGGACTGTGTGGAGGGACCTTCTGAAGGAAACAGATTTTCTGTGTTCGAGAGATGACCATCAGTGAAGCTTTCTAATATTCCAGAAAATCCTACATTGTTTATTTAAAAATTATTTTTATTCTGAAAATTTTCAAATATGCACAATAGTGGAGAGAAGATGCCCACATACTCCTCACCCGGGTTCAACAGTTATCAACATTTGGCCACACTTGCTTCGTCTATCCCTTTTCACTTTCTTTTTTTCACCGAAGTATTTTAAAGCAAATCTCAGACATCAATCATTTCATCTCTATGTGTGATTTCAGTGTGATCTCTAAAAATATTAGGTAACCATTATATCATTATGATATCTAAGAAAATTAACAATTTTTCTGGTATCATCGAATACCCAGTCCGTATTCAAAAATTTCCCAATTTTCCCCAAAATGTCATTTTTACAGTTGATATGAGTTCTGGGTTGTTGTTGTTTTTTATAGTTTATGTTTATATTGTATGTCATTCCTTATCTGAACAACATACCACTGAAGAGTGAGATGGATATTACTGAATTCATTTTACAATTGAGTCAAGGGGCAAACATAGCTGTCCTGACGGCGCAGCTGGTGATTGGTGGAACTGGGACCTGCCCCGGCTCAGGGAGTTACCAGCTGTTCTCCGAAGCGTTCATTTGGCTCCCGCTTCATCCTGGGCTTATCATTTCCCATACACCTGCTACCAGAAATTCCTGTGTAAATATTTAGTAATTGGCCATTTGGTGCTGGAGATAAATTGGCTGCAAAATCAGGAAGCTTAGGTTTATTTTCCAGCTTATTGTAAAACTGTACAAAAACAACATATCTCGAGACTCAGGGTGGCCCTCTGAACTAGAAGTCATCATCCTTCCCTGTCCTCTGGCTCATGGGTCTGAAAGAAGGAGAGAAGTGACCGCAGCTGGGATTCCTGAAAGACATAAAGGCCCCACAAAGAAATCTCATTGAGAACAATTACCCATCACTATCGTCACCCGAGGATGTGGTCAGGGGGCACCTGTAGTCGGAGGCTCCTAAATTCTGTAACAGAGAAGAGGCTTCCCTCTGCAGGCCTCCGTTTATGGACAACATTGTTTATTCTGCCTTTGTCCAATGAGGATATAGAACACCAGAATTTTTACTTTTAGCATTTTCATTCACTTTGAAGTAGGGCGATGAATCATTTTTACACCTCATTAATGAGACTCGTGAATCAGAGTTCTTCCTTGACCATGTGAGAAGATGAAATCTCTCATTTCTTGACTCCTAGATTTTCTGCTCTTACGTTCATTGCCCTGAAATAGGTGAGAAGGAACAGACCTTCCGTGAAACAGCCAGTTAAAAGAGGGAGAGACTGGTTGCTCCAATCTCATAATTAATTAAACAATAGAACCCTAAAGTGGCAAAGCATTAACTTTAAACCATGCTATCTTCTGGCAGCTGTGCATAGCTAACGGGCTGTCTCACGGGGGCAGAATTTCTAGGTGATTCCACATCACCAGCTGCAGTGGCTCCCTTCCTTTTACAGTCTCAGGAGCATTCGGAGGTATAGTTCCCCTCTCCCAGGGCTGCCTGGGTTCACAAGAACAGTTTGGAATTACTATTGTTCACTTCCCTCAAGAGAAAGGCCTTTGTGGTCAGTGTGCATGGCAGACTGGTCCCTGGGCGAGCCATAAAGCCTCAGATGAAGTGGCTGGAGCCTGTTCTTCTCCAAGCTACAGAGCCAGCAGGACTCATGACTGTGGGCCAGAAAAGGCAGAGCCAAGCAGATGTCCTCAGATACGCATCCGCAGCAGCTCGCTGCTTATCTTCTAAGTCTCCAGGCGTGTCTGGATTGCAGCGAGTCTTCAGACCTTCTTATCCTAGTAATTCCAGTCGTACTCCTGCTGGAGAGCATGGCGGGCACATGATAGGGAATGCAATGTGTCAGAGAAGTCTTTGGGCACCAGGACCACCCTTTCAAAGTAGCCATCTGTCTGAGGGTGATCAAGCATGATGGTGACAATCTAGATAAGATTTCTGTGCAGAGTTTTAAAAAATCTGTCGCACATCCCCTGGCAGAAACTATCTACCTGGGCAAGTTATGTGTGGCAAATACAGGTGTAGAATGAGAACTGACTCGGCAGGTGAAGAGGACATGATCAGGATGGCAGTCAATGAGTTCTTCTTGTCCACTGTTTTTTGATCCCTTCACTGGAATACCTTTAATATTACATTATAATATTATATGCAAATGGTGATTTATTTTCTTCAGTTATTTCATTGTCAGACAAGCAGACACAGTTAGCCACGTGGATGTTCCAGAGTAAGTCCCCCTCGATGTGTCACCCACGTGATGATAAGGATGTCTTCTGAGGAAATAATGTTGCTTGCCTATAAAGCATATGCTTTATGAGAAGATAACTTATGTCAATGACTTGTAAACAGCTTAATTTGTTCAGATAGTTTCTTTAAACTGTTCTTGAACTTGGATCCATGGAACTCCCCCACCTCCAGCCTTGTCCTGGGGACCACTGATGTGCTGTCATAATTAGCACAGCTTTCCAGAGTGCCTGAATGATCCAAAGGTCTAGAAAGAAAGATGTTTTTCCAAACATCTTTCTAAAGCTTTTTTAAAGACCAATACAAATATAAATGAGTAAAGTACATTTTGAAAGTAAACTCCCTCCCAGCCCCTGGAGGAAACTACATTCTGCTTTCTGTTTCTACTTTCTGTTTCTATAGTTTGACTACTCTAGGTACCTCCTATAAGTGGGATCATACAGTAATTGTTCTTTTGTGATTGGCTTATTGCACTTAATATATTGTCCTTAGGGTTCATCCATGTTGTAGCTGTGTCAGAATTTCCTTCCATTCATCTGTTGATGGACTTCTGAGTTGCTTCCTCCTTTGGTTACTGGGAATAGTGCTGTTATGAGCATAGATGTGCAAATACCTGCTCTGGATGAACTTTTACAAAACGAACACACCCTTGCAATTACCACCCAGATCAAGACCATAATGACACCCAGAACGATGCGTGGATTTAAAGGTAAAGCAGGAGATTTCAAATACATTTCATGGCTACATACAGCTGCTTTGACTGCACCTCAGGGTCTTGGGATTGCATGTTCATTTGCTCTACCATGAGGTGGTTG